AGCAGTCCTGGGCTCCTTCTCCCTCCCGCTCAGACCTCTCTCCTACCGCCAGGAGCTGGGGGGAGGGGTGCTCGGGACCCGCTGGACCGGCGGCTTGTATCTTACCCACTTTGTGAGGCGCTGGGTTCTCGCAGGTGTGGATGTGGTCTGGATGTTGTCCTTTGTCCTCTGGTCTCTATTTTAGGAAGAGTTGTCTTTGTTATATTTTCATAAATGTATGTGGTTTTGGGAGGAGATTTCCACTGCTGTACTCACGTCGCCATCCTGGCTCCACCCCTCCATTACATCTTTTAAAGGTGGAATCTTGAGAGCTTGCATCAGCATCTCTGATCAGCTGCAACTAACCAGGATGTGTTATCAAATAAAACTTGTAAATAATCCCTACTTGCAGTGCTTGGAACACAACTGGCTATTCATTAACCCTGTGTTTCTCAAGGTGGAGTTCTAGAACAGTGCTATCAACATCACCTGGACTTGTTAAATATGAAAATTATTGTATCCCATCCCAATCCACTGAATCAGAAACCCTGGGGATGGAGCTCAGCAATCAGTGTTTTAAAAAACCCTTCCAATTCACCCAAAGAAGACAAAATCCCTGATTCAAAAAGATACATGAACCCCTATGTTTATTACCACACTATTTGCAATAGCGAAGATATGGAACCAACCTAAGTATCCATCGGTAGATGAATGGATAAAGAAGAAGTGGTACATATACACAATGGAATACTATTCAGTGATAAAAATGAAAGAAATCCTGCCATTTGCAACAACATGGATGATCTAGAGGGTATGCTGCTCAGTGAAATAAGCCAGGTGGAGAAAGGCAAATACCAAATGATTTCACCTATTTGTGTAATATAAAAATAAACCAAAACAGAAGGAACAAAACAGCAGGAGACTCATAGACACTGAGGAGTGACTAGTGGTTGCCAAGGGGGAGGTGCTGGGACAGGTGCCAGGGGGCAGCGGGAAGGGAATAAAAGGGCACAATAATTCACAGTCACAATATAAGTTGATCACAGGGACCGTTAAGCCACTGTGATGTACATTTGAAACCAACGTAAGATTGTATATTAACAATATATACATATATATTTTAAAGCCCTACTAAAGTTTGAGAAGAGCTGCTTTATTCTTTTCAGTGCTGGATATACAGAGAAATTCATTATGGAGGCATTTGCATGCAAAATTATTGTCTTTGTGTCTTCCAAAATTAGTGTTGATTTAGAGAATTGGGGGTTTTTTTTGTAGGAAATTAACATTTGCTGAATCTGCCCTGGCACAGAGATACCTGAGTTTTCTCACAAGCAGCATTACTTGTCTTTCTTTTTCTTCTTTTTATTAATGGATCATTGATATACAATCTTATGTTGGTGTCAAATATACAACACAGTCGTTCAACAGTTACCCGTATTATTAAATCCTCACCCCCTCTAGCGTGGTTATTATCTATCAACATTTTAAGATGTTACAGAATCATTAACTGTATTCTCCAAACATTACTGTTTTTGATAAGCACAATAGCCCGTCACCTATGGAAGCATGACCCTATCCAAATGTCCCTATGAAAGTATTAAAACTACATCTCTAGGCAGCAACCAAATAGAGGCAAGCCACAGAACACCATCATTACATGAAACCTGGGAATCATTAAAATGATCCTTTACCTCTGAGAACTGCTTTTCAGGTAATGTTCTTTGAATAAGAGGCCCAGTGGGACCCTCTAATGAACTACTTCTTTCATCCTCCCTCTTTCCCTGTCCTCTGGAGGGTCATGGAGGAGCCCAGAGCTCTCGGGTAATGAAATCATAGAGCTCAAAATTTCCCTTATGTAATGTGAAAGTCTTGGTCAACTGTAACAGAGAAAACTTATATGTTGTACCCTTGAAAATACACACAGTCACGCCAAGACAGCCAGGAAGCCCCTTCCTGGGAGCTAAGATCAGCTCGACAGAAAAGAAAAACAGTGCTCCACAGCACATGAGACAGGCAGATTCAGGTCGTAGCTTCTGAAGGACAAGGATCTGGCGATCAGAAGAAATGAGGCCCGTAGGAAGAAGGTAGAACATTTCCAGGTAAGTTCTGATTTAAATCCTTATAACTACCCCTACCTCCTCTTCTTTCAGTCAAATTGTTTTCCCTGATTTCTACCTGTAGCCCCCATAATTCTATTTAACTGGCATTTACTTGTTAGCCACCCAGCAACATCTGCCCCATATCTGAAGGTACTGCCTCACTTCTGAAAGCTGAGCAAGTTTACAGAGGGTGTAGCTTGTGAGGAAGTCAAAGATTCAAGAACCCCATGGCTTTGACATAACACAAGAAGCATTGTCAGATATGACAAAGTGAAGCACATTTACAAATCTTAGGTCATAGTGAGCACCTAATAAATGCTAGTTAGAGAGGACTTGTCTAAAGAAAGGGAACTGAGATTAAGTGCTCTGCACTAGAACACAGACACGGGCAGGGCCATGATGTGGGCAAGAGCAGAGAAGTGAGGATACGACTGAGTTTTCCAAGGAATGTGGAAAGCCTTTTAAACAAAAGGAACTAGTGGTCACCAGTCCTCTTTTGACCTTGTCTCCAGAGCATCATGTGACTGACAGCAAGGTCACCCTGAATTGCTCACTGTTCTTTAAATACACTTATTTTCTAAGTATCAGAGATTTTCAAACTCCTCAGATGTTTCTACTATGCAGCCAGGACTGTGAGCCACTCTTTTGGTCTTATGAAGTATAAAGACATCATACTTCTTTATGAAGGATGGGGTGGAAAGAAATGCCTGCTTCAGAAGATACATAATTTAATAAAGTGATAAAGATAGAGGTTTAAGAAGCAATTATATTTTCACAGACCTGAATTAAGGTAGGGAGTGGGTTATGTGGACGTGTGTGGGGAGATGAAGCAGCAAGTTAAGGACCCTGAGGTAGGAAAAACTTATCACAATCAAAGAAGAGCAAAATGGCCAAGAATGAAATGAGCAAGGGGGAGATTGATGGGAAGATGAAGTGGAGCAGGTGAGTTGAAGCTGATTGTGCATGAGTGTCATGAGTATTCATGCTTATTGTGCCTGCACATAGTTATAGACTTTTGATTTGATTCCTTACATGAAGCTATTGAGGATTGTAATATGTTGTTTGTAAGTATAAGAGGGCCACCCTCTCGGCAGTAAGCAGTATGTAGGTAAAAGAGAAGCAGGAAGAGCAATGAGGAGGTCATTCCTGTAATCCCAGTGGAAAACAAAACATGTTGGCTGGAATGGTGATGGCATAAATGAGAACAGTGGGAAGTCTCATTGAAAGACAGAAAGTCACTTAGCCAGGAAACAGTGGCATAATTACAGGAACAAATGTGTGTATGAGAGAAAGGAAATGTGGTTCAGTTCCGAAACAGATGAGTTAATTTTAAATATGGCCATCCATTCTAATAGGAAGGTACAGTACATGGGTACCAATGCAATGGGTTCTTTTTTGGTGATGGGGATATAAAAAATGCATCATTTGGTTTTTTTTCTGGTTTCTTATGAAAAAGAAAGATCATCTGATTTTGAGTGGGAAGGTAGCCTTTTTGGGAGATTAAGAAAGATCATCAAATGTCTAACAAGATAACATGTAAATAGACATGTGTTATGATTGCTTGGCTATATACTAAAGCATGTGTGCAAAGCCGCTCAGTGCACCCTCTATCACTCTTTTCCAAGGAGAATTATTACCTCTCCTATGATCTACAGAATGCTAGTGACAGTGTTAGCCTTATTTATTCAGGGAACGATTCTTCTCTCTGTGTCATTAGTCCTGGTTGTGCACCTCCAATGCACACACACACACCCAAATTCTAGTACAAAGATTAGCTTCCTATTAGAAGTCTAAGTTTAATACAGATGCTGACATATGCATACCTACTTCCTATAGGAGTCATTCATCATCCCTATGACTGCAATAGTTCAGAGGACTTTTCAAATATCATTTTATATCATAATGTTAAGTTCCCTAACATATGAGTAGAGTTATAGGCACATAGGGACAAGGAGTAGAGAGTATAGGCATATATGGAATGTACATGATCTAAAAAATAGATGAAATAGACAACATGTGGGAGAGAGAAGAAAATAGGTACAATACATGCAGGTATTAGTAGAAAGGGTTCTGATTTAACTACTGCTGAGAGTGTCTACAGGTCTTTGGAAGGAAAGAGAAATTCTGGGATAGGAACTGAAGATTTAAAGAGTGGTCCAGTGCACTAGTTTGAAGTAAATGCCTCATGATAAAGGCAGTTCAAACTACACATGGGGACCAGTTATAATGAAAGAAACATGCATGAGTCATGTAAAAAAAAAACTGTCAAGGTCAAAGGACTGTCCATCAGGGGCATAAATGCTTAGTTTGAGAGATAGTGGGAGGCAACTACCTGATGATGTCCTTATATGGACACTATATCTTTCCTATGTTGTCCATGAAAAAAAGGCCCTGAGGGAACAACAGCATCATGACCAGAGAGTGGACCCCTGAAAGATGGACAACATATAAAAGCAGAGAAACTCAGAGGAGATACCTGCCTTCAGCTCCACACTTCTGCAACAAAGGGTGAGTGAACATCTTTCTTCTTGTGGGAAGCTTCCCACGGAGAAGATTATGGCTCTTCTATCAAGTTCTTCCTTCCTTTAATCAAGTATAAAAAAATTTTCTCCCATTCTTACTCAGAACTCCAGAAAAAATGTTTGAAGTATAGACTTGCTGAACTGGGAGGGATGATAAAGATCCACTATAACATCCTTTATACAGAAAAGAAGCCCAAGGATCATAAAGAAATGAGTGTGAAAACAATACAGATGCTGAGAGCCAGACTGCAGACTCCATGAATCCAAAAGTATATTCTTCCAACTTTCTCTGAGCCCCCTCTCAGCAAGTCATTAAAAGCCAAACTGGTAAAAACAGCACGCTCCTACCCGTGTCTCTTCGGGAGGTTTCAACTTTCTTTAACAACCCACAGTTTCTACTATGCTGATCTTCAACCATTCCAGCTTCCTGACCTTCACTTTGATGGGCATACCAGGCTTACAGTCACAACACTTGTGGCTATCTCTTCCTTTCTCCTCCATGTTTTTGGCTATCCTCATTGGCAATGGTGCTGTCCTCTTCCTGGTCACCACAGAGCCCACACTTCATACCCCAATGTACCTGCTCCTGGCACTGCTGATGGTGACTGACCTCATATCTGCTCTGGCTCTGTTGCCCAAGGTCCTCTGCCTCTTCTGGTTCAATGATGGGAACATCACTGCCAATGCCTGTTTCACCCAGATGTTTTTCATCCATGGAGCATCCGTGGTACGGTCAGCCCTACTTGTTGCAATGGCCTTTGACCGCTTTGTGGCTGTGTGTGAGCCGTTACGCTACAACACAATTCTGAGCCATTCCTTAGTCGGCCGCCTGGGACTGGTGGCCCTGGCCAAGGGTGTGATTCTTATCCTTCCCATGCCTATTCTGCTTCACAGGTTGACGTTCTGCCGTGTGGTCATTCCTCACACCTACTGTGACCACATGGCTGTGGTGAAAATGGCCTGTGACCACACCAGACCTAACCGAATCTACGGGCTCTTTGTGATTCTGTTTGTGGTGGGACTTGATTTGCTGTTCATTGGCTTCTCTTATGGCCTCATACTGCAGACTGTGGTACATCTCAACTCTCGAGATGCTACCTACAAAGCCCTCAACACCTGCTCAGCTCATTTCTTTGTCATCCTTGTCACTTATGTGCCTCTACTCTTTTCCTCTCTTACCTACCGCTTTGGTCACAATATCCCACCTCATGCCCACATTCTTCTTGCCAATCTCTACCTTCTTCTACCCTCAGTGCTCAACCCCATCATCTATGGCATAAAGATGAAGGAAATACGGGACAAGATGGCCAAATGCCTGTGCAGATGACCTCCATAGGTTGGGGTCCAGACAATACACCTGTGGGTAAATGAACAGTGAGGAAAACTGGCAGTGCCTGTGCCCAGCCTTCCCAGACTGCTGTATGTCCAGATGAGCTGTGGAAAGAAGAGACCAGGAAAGAGGGCCAGCATGTGTGGGTTTTGTTTGTTTGGTTTGCTTACATGAAGAACCAACACATTTAGATGTTGATTGAGGTATGAAGTACAAAACGGGGAGACTAAGGAAACTCCTTTAGTCTGTTTAACAGAAGCACTCTTGTGGTGTGGATCTCCTGGTAACTTTCACATCTATGTTCACATTTGTCAGCTACACACAGAATTTCTCCATACAGGATCCAAGACCATCTTTCCTTGTCTTGGTAAAAGTTTGTATTGGTTTTGGTTTTCTATCTTCTGTTTCTCTACTTTTCTGTCTTATTGTTTCAAGGTTACCTGACATACACATTATCTTTGGATACCACCTTAAAATGTAAAAATTCTTCAGGATATTGGTAATTTCACCAAGAACATTTTTAATACAATGGCATGTTCACAATACCAATTGGGTGATTGTGGTCCTGTGGATGCTCATGACAAAAATGAAGGAACTTGAATATTTTCATATGTAGACTCAGCACTCAGATCACAGAACGTCACATTGCAAGGGAAAACATGTGTCCAGATGACTAATTCAAAAGACTTGTGTGACCAGGAACTTCACCTTAAAAAAGCACATGTTAGCAGGAAGCTACCTGTTCCTGAAGGGGTATTCCAGGATGACCCAAATTGTGCACAAAGACCAACTTACATGATAAGGCTTTGCCATGTTGAAATATTTTAAATCACTGTAGTAAAGGAAACTTCTATCTAATCATTTAAATGCATAGTTAGAGGATCAGGTGCACCATATAAAAAAACAAATACAAGATTGGGTGGTTAGTCAAAACTGACCCCATTTCTAATAAAAATTAAAATGAGTCCATGGAGTATAAAAGCTATTGAAAAATAGGATAGTCAGCTTTAGCACAGTTCTAAAATTAAACAAGGGGGATTACTGACTTGAAAGTCAGGAAAAAGAATCTTACATTTCTAAATCCTTCTTGAATCTCTATAACTGTTCTTGAGATTCTTAAAAGGATAATGACACTGAAGATCCCCAGCCAGGACTTGTGACCAATCCTGATCACTCCAGTGAGTGATCCTTCACTTTAGTGAGCTGAGCAACCTATAAATCATAGGAACATTTTTAATTCACGTGATCTAGGGCAGAGTGAGCCTTCTGTACTAAACATTCCTTTCCCTGGGTTTCATCTATTCTTGCCTAGCCTTCAGAGTAGGAAGATGCCTACAATGCAGAAAAAAAAAAGAATTCCTATTATCCTTTCAGAGAGGAAAGAAATCATCTCTGAAGTCTGTTCTGTTGTTTCTCTCACTTAGTAAAGAAATGTCCTAATTCATTCTTAAATATGAAAATGTTCTTATGGAGGGTGTGTTGGGGGAAGGTTGGCCCAGGAGAAGGACAAGAGGTAGAGTCAGATAATTTATGGTGACTTTTCAGTGCCTTTTTGTACTTCATAAGCCAGATTTCCCACTGGAGATTAGAGAATCGAACGAAGATTTATGCCTAACACTTTTTTGGCTGCCTTCATGATCAGCACTTCAGGGTTTAGAAAGAAACTAAGAAAATAGAGTCATCAATGTCTAGTCTCCCTGATGGACAAGAATTATAGCCTTCACACCTTGGATAAACAGGTGAGGATACTGAGTAATAGAAACCATAAGAGAAGCTCAGGACAAGAGCTAAGGGTGAGGTAGTTCTGTCTTAGAATATGAGTGAATGGCAAAGTCCTGTCTTATGTTCCTCACATTCTGTTAATCCCAGCAGGAATACTATCTGTGGGAGTGACTCTGTGCTTGTTGTCCTGGGTATTTTTACTTATAATAAATCATGGAATCATTTCAACTTTAACTCAAGTTACATAATAATATCCATCTAGATAACGTTACAGAAGCTCAGTTGCTTTGTAACTTTCCCATAGTCACACAGGTAGTAAGTGGTTAAGCATGAAGTTAAATCATAATCTTTCTTATCATAAAATATCTTCCCACTCTATTAATGCCTATGTTGTCTGTTTAAAGACAACCAAGAATAAAGAAATTGTCCAGCAAGACCAAGTGGAACACTTAGCAAAATTGGCTTTAATCATCAAAACATGGAAACTATTGTGTGCCTACCTCATTCCAAATACCAATCATTAAAGATGTATTTAAGTTCTGATATAAACAGTAATCACTATTTAGAGAACTGAAAAATCCTATTCTAGTAAATTCTCTGTTTTTAATGCCCCCCCCACCAGTCTCATTCTTCTCAGATAAATGTGCCCCCAGAAGGTGGTTTTGATGCAGTGAATCACTCAGTCTCCATTGACATCTACCTCTTACTGGGTTTGCCCAACAGAGCTGTGTTATTCTGGCTTCTCAAAGGTGACTCCAAGACAAGATTAAATGTCGCGTGCCCTGTCCTCGCCGGCAAGAACAGCATGCAACAACAGCAGGATTCTTCTGCAGAAAGCTTTATTCTTCAGCTCTTTGTGAAACAAATGAGTTGGGCAGGACCCAGAGGGGAAGGAGAGGCTTGCTTATATAGTTCTCATGCTCTGACCTGGTTGGTGCGGCTCCATATGCCTTATTAGCATAACCATTTGGTGGGTCTCATTGGTCCTTATGCCAAGGCGCAATTAGCATGTAGTTTAGTGGTGTGGGATGATTTGTCATTAGGAAGTTCGGGGCCTTCCGGCTGCCCTGCATTGGGCGCTATTTTCTGAGCGCGGCTGCCAACATCTCCCCCTTTTTTGTCTAACAGAAGCTCAAGGCGGAACTTGCCAGCAGAGGCGGAGACAGAGGCCTGACCTCCATCATACTTCCTGATGCCCCCTTTTTGGAGAGGGGTTCTGGGCATCTACCCCTATGCAGTCAGGCATGCCTCTCAGAGGGGTCCAAGACCTCTTGCAGTGCTTTGCCTCGCATCCTCTGGCTGGCGTTGGGACCGCTTGGTACAAAGGGTTTGGACCCTTTTTCTCAACCCTCTTGCACCATGAGCTTCTTAAAGAAAGCTGTGATTAAGCATTGAGGTACTCGGGCCTGGTGCAGTGCCACATGGGCTCAGGGTGCAAGAGCTACCTCAAGCTAAAGCNTACATCTTTTTCTACAGGTGACAAATAAAGACAGCTGTCTTATATGAAAGATGCATTTTTCTTAGGTTCACTTAGAACTTAACAAAAAATTAGAATATCCCAACACCAAATTTATAGGACTCCCCAAGCACCCCTGTAGATGGCATACCACAGTTCTAGTTTTCAGGATTCCAGGCTATCTAAACATCAAGGTCTGGTTACATTAGAATGGGCAAGAGTGTCATGATTTTATGTTAATAAAAAAATGCATTTTTTAGAACATTTGTATAAAGAATTAATTTGTTTTGCCATTAATATCATATTTAAGCATATGACAGAATATTTCAATAAAATGGGATTGGAGGATACTTGATACAAACGGAAATTGTTTTTGTTTTTCACCTGTTTCAATCATTGTTTAAATTCTCTCATCAAATTTTAGATACCTAGCTCAGTAATCCAACGAGGAACTTCCCTAAAGTCAGATGACCTCTGAGATAGCTGTCTGTAATGACTCATATCAACAGCCCACAGTTCATATCAAAATCTACTAACTTTGGTAGAGTTTTCTTCCATTTCAATCAATAGTGTTTTGCATGATGTGTTTAAGTATACTTCCATTCTGTATTATTAACTATTTGAATTCATATTTAAAGTTAATAGTCACTTAACAATATTAATACATTCATTTAATAATATTAACTCAATTTTTGTCCTCTGTCCTGCTCCTATTTGACGAAGAATCAAATTTGTAATTTCTTCCATTGAACTGTAATATATAAAACCTAAGAACTGCCTGATAATCCCCAGAAGAATAACAGGACATCTTTTTGCACTTAACTTTATCATTTTAAACAAAGACAGAAAGAAAAATAAAGCAAGGTGTGTCAATAGCTGAAGTACCGACCACCTGAACAACAGGCCCTTAGTTGACTGCACATAGTCAAAGTATCAGCTCTGAGACTTGATGTAAACATACAGGTCTATCTGCAGACATCATTGCAGTATTGACACATTTTAATATACTTGGTGGCAGCATGTAAGACTCCAAGACCCAAGAACATGATATTTTTTAAATATAAAGGTAAAATGTAGCATTTTAAATGCATTAAAATACAACAGATAAGGTAGATAAATAGTTTTTGTTTTTTTCTAATGTTAGCTAAGATCTTGTGAATATGCTAGCATAGTCTCAGGCATATATGTCTATGAAAACAGCCACAGTGTCTACAGTTTAAGGAAGAGACTTCCAAGTATTTCAGGAAAGGCAGAAAAACTCACCTAAAAACCCATTTTAAACTGATGGTAGGTAGGTTTGGGATAGGCATATTCAATCTCATAATATCAATTTTACATCACATTAGAAAAAATAAACTATTACTTAAAAATACACTAAAGTAAACCCAGAAAGCTACATCTGACATCCAGGACATGAAGAAGAGAAGATCAGCATGGTTCTCATGAAGATGTCAGCTCTCTGCACACATGGAAGACTCAGCAGAGGGTGTAGAGTAGGGCTCTTATATCTATCAAAATGGAACATGAGCTCACAATGGGGCAGAGTTCACAATGGAATAGAAATGCACAAAGCACTTCAGGAAAAGGACTCTACTGTGGGAGTGAAGACAGTGTCTTTCTTAAGGCCAGAAGGACATCATGATCAAAGGAGGGACAGTGGCTTCATTTGTCTTTAGGTCTCACTTCACATGGGTCTGCTTTGCCTCCCGTGTAGTGGAGCAGAACACGTTATGGATAGGCAAGTGTCACTCACCAAAGAATCAAAGTAGCGAAGTCCAGGACTGGATGAGCCAAAGAAAAATGCCCTCCAGCAATGTTAAGTGGCAGGAAAAGGACCAAGAGCAAAAGAAAATAACAACTCTGGTGCAAGTAAAAGATCAAAGTTAATTAAATGTCTGAGAATATGGGTGGTATAGCCATATACATGAGAAAAGGGGAAGTGTGGTTGTATATATGCATTTATATTTTAACTGTATTAGGTAATTATCATGGTACACATAAAACCGTCTAAAGGGTTTATGTCTCAGGATGCTGACCATGTAGAAGAGGGACGACTTTTACATTCCATTGTGTAACGTCCCACATTTGATTGCTTTACCAAGTACATGCATTATTTTAACAAGAACAAAAAATAGTAAAAACAAAAAAACATTCTCATTTAGAGCTGTGTAAAAAATAGGACTCAGAGGGAAGTAATAACTATGCACATCTATAGAAGCTCTTTTCTTTCTAGGAGCCCTTTTAAATGTGTGTAAAAGCAATCTTCTAAGTTTACCTGAGTTAGTTGTAATTGTGGAAATCGAATTATCTTAATAAAGATAGGTGATTTTGTTACTAAAAATTGGAAAATTAAAATAATAAATCTGTGGGATGGACTTAAGGTGTGAGCTCCCTACTCATCATAAAGAAAGTTCACAAACTACAGTGGGACTTCAGTTCACTAAACCATCCTTGCATGTCACTTCAAAATCCCTGTGGTCACCCCTCTTACTTAGCCACTGCTGCTGGGATCAGTTCCCTGCAGGTGTGCTCAGACAGTCCACCTCAAGTCACACCTGGTGCCTGGAACTTCCTGCCATGGGGCTTCCCTACCTCCATGGCAGGGGGCCCGCAACAAACAGCTATGTCTTCACGCACTCACAACCTGGAAGTATGGGGGTGCTGACGCCTGCAAGGGCAGTCCATGAGCCCCACATGAGCCATTGGCCAAAATCCTTTCCTGCCCTGGGGAAGTTAATTTGGAATGTCTAAATCAACTGCCAAAATGCAAGCATTTGTCTGAGGCCCTGTTTCCTGGGAAACCCAGGTTTAGACTCTTCTATGCTGAAAAATCTTCTGCCCCAATAAGAGACTCTAGTCAGAAGTGTTGACTCCCTGGTAATGTATAAGAAGTTATATATTTCTACAACTGCTGTTATATAATTACTTGTATAATTAATAATAATTTATTTAAGTGGTTTATAACCTTTTCAAGGCAGAAGTTCTCCAAATGTAGTGGAGATAGTGAATGTGAGGTCGACCCTGGATGAATACAACCTCCAAATACCTAACAGATGTGCAGAAAGTGATTTAACTTGACCAAAATATCAAACATAGGAACATTTTCTAATTTTTACATGGTAAGGAACAATACTGTGTCCATGAGAAGAAATAGTCAGTTAATATTAGGGCCATCTATTTCATTTTCAGCAAGCCTACGAGAGGAATCGAGCTCATTCTGAAGTAAGAACAACCGTAGATCAATAACATTTTTATTAAAAAGCCCAAGGGTGTAAAGAAAGACAGTCAAGCTTCTTTCTCATGGTTATCTGATTTTCTCAGGTCCCTCAGTTTCCCCAAAATCAGCTGCTGTACCAGTTACCCTGAAACAATTTCCCCAGTGCACACTACGGTCTGGTGTTAATGAACCTTCTGCCCATAATTTCAGTAAAAATAGACTTCCCATGTTAACAGAATAGATCACCAAAAACAGGAGGAAAATATATAAAATAAATTGAGAGTTGGATAATGTTTTATAGCATGTGGACTCTGCCCCTGTACCTGAATCCCATGCGAATCAGATGAGAAAACACAACAAAACATACTCACTCTCCAATCTCAGCCAAAATTAAGTCCTGCTATCACAGGTTCTCAGGCGAATGAGTGCTTCAAGCCCTTTCACAATCCGCTACTTGTTTGTCAATTAAATTATTCATCACAAAATATTTTGCTAAAGGTTTTTCTTTATTTGGTCTAAATGTTTGTGGAGGGCTATTTGTTCACGTTAATGGCAGATGGGCAGCGCTCTGTACTCCGCTGTTAACTGCTCCTGCAAGTGTCCTCCGTTTATCAGAAAGGCACTTCCTCTGTAATCCTCAATTTTGTTTTTTCCTCAAATTTGAGCCATTTATTTCAATCTCTGACACCCCACCTTTCTCAGCCTTTTTCATTGAATTGTTTAGTTCACTGGGAGCCTTTATTATCATTTGTGACAGCTGGTTCACACTCTGAAAAGGCTCATTTATTTCCCTGTAATTTAAGTATTGCAAGAATCTCCTTTAAACAGTGGCCATGAAGCTTTCAGGGTGGGTATCTTTCTCACTGAGCTATGCCTTCATATAATAGTTCTACAGTATAAGGAAAAAACAGGGAATCTTTCTGTATTCAAACTTCATGCATCTTAAGATATTTGCCATTATATCCCAAGTCACTGTCTAAAAGTGATAAACAATATTCCTCTGAACATAATGAACTCCCCTATCTGAGCACAGGTCTGAACACCAAAGTTGCCCCACCACCTTTCAAGACTTCCTGGGCTCCCAGAGAAAGTGCCTTGCAGAGAGTTATCAATAAAGGTTTCCAGTAAAACTTATTTTTATAACTAAAATCATTAGCAGATCATTCTCACAATTGTTTCTTTGCAGGAGATTCTGTCAGACATGGGAATTGGTAGACACAAGAAGGAAAGTTGTGAGTTGTCGCAAGTCCATATTCCCTCCTTGTACAAAGAGGCAGCAAGTCCTGTGGCCCCACCATAAGGCTTCTGCAGCAGGGATATTAACTACTGATTAACACAATTTTGTATTTTCCCTGCCCTTTCTCACTTCTCCCAAATTATCTCCTCCTCCCACTTCCCTTTAAACATACAGCTGCAAATACATGCCCACATTCGCACACCTCGGCCTTGCTTTGGCAGTCTGCTGGGCAAGTTACTGTTTGCTCTATGTTCCTTCTATGAGAAAACATTTTACATGTGTTCCATGCATGTTGTTCAAGTGTTGTACATACTTGATCACATTTAATTTTCCAGACTACCATTTGGATGATCAGACAGCTTTGTGACCATGGGCAATGGTTATGGCCTCCTTTTTCCAGCACCCATATTTGTTCAATTTTTCCCGAAACTCCTTGGTTTTCACTGCATAAATAATAGGATTGAGCATTGGAGGTACAAGGAAATATAGATTACCAAGAATGGTGTGGACATGGGGTGGAATTCCCTGGCCAAAGCGATGGGTGAGAAAAGAGAACAGCGAGGGGGTGTAGGAGATGAGCATGACACAGATGTGTGCGGTGCAGGTGTTGACTGCTTTGTAGTGAGCCTCCTTAGAACTGAGCCGCATTACAGCCCGGATGATCAACACATACGATGAGGCAATAGCTGAGATGTCTAGCCCAACAACCAACAAGGCCACCACCAAACCATACATCCTGTTAACTGTGGTGTCCACACACACCATCTTTACCACCGCCATGTGCTCACAGTAGGTGGTGGGGATAACAGGTTTGGCACGAAAGGGCATCTTCTGGAGGAGAATGGGCATGGGAAGGATGAACAGGATGGCTCTCACTAAGCTCACAAGGCCAATGAGCCCAATGCGACTGTTGGAAAGGATGATGGCATAACGCAGGGGTTCGCAGATGGCCACATAGCGGTCAAAGGCCATGGACATCAGAACGGCAGACTGCAAGGCAGAGATGGAGTGGATGAAGAAGAGCTGCACCAGGCAGCCCTCATAGCTGATCTCACTCTGGCCAAACAAGAAGAGGCACAGCACCTTGGGGATGGTGGTTGTGGACATGCCCAGGTCCGTGAGGGCCAACATGCAGAGGAGCAAGAACACGGGCTTATGCAGGGACCGCTCCATGCAGATGGTGAGCAGGATGGTGCAGTTCCCCAGGATGGTGAGGAAGTACATGGAGGAGAAGGGAATGGAGATCCATCTGTGCTTGTCCTCCATCCCAGGAATGCCTTGGAGAATGAAGAAGGAAGGATGGCCCTGGGAGGCATTGCAGGCAGTCATGGGGGTGCCCTGGTGGAGAGCATGAGAAAAGCAAGGAAGGAAGGGCATGAGCCTTACTTTGTAACCAATCAAGACGTTCACAATAGAAACAAAATGTGCAATATTAAGATACACAAAAACGATTCTAAAATCAGGATAATATATCACGTTGCATGGTATATGGTGTAGCATTACAGAAGTCATAATACGTCAAAGATCATTAATCTGAGAGAAAATATTTTATGATAAATGGTTTCTTAAGGACACACTTATTCATTAACAAAACATGTCATATAATTTACAAGAATATATTATGCATATTTTGAATTGCATCCATTTAAAAAATACACCTTGAAGTATATGAAATAAAAATGGATAGAAATCCAAAGAAAGACTGACAAAGTATTGCCTACACCTCTCAGCAACCAAAAGGTAAATAGGTCAACAAATGATTTTTTTTTAAATAAGATAACTTAAGAGCTTATAATAGAATTACTCCTCAAATAATTAAAGAATATAGATTTCCTGCAGCTTCGGGGCTTGTAGGACATTTTGATGAGAACTGTGCAGAGATGACCAGGAGAGCAGCAGGGATCCTGGGCACCTGGGAAAAGGCCAGCAGGGTGTGGCAACAAGCCCACCTCCACTTAGAACCTCTTACCTGAATGTGAAGCAATGTGACAGGAGAAGCTGCTCCCAGACCCCTTCTTCAAATGGGAGTGTGTGAGTGTGCACACATGTGTGCAGCTGTATCTTAGCATAGGTTCATATGGCTCTTGGCAAGCACGCTCATGGTCCAGCATCTCCACTGCTTACTATCGGGCACTCCGAAGCCCTGTGTGGCCCTTTAAGTCACCTAAGTGGAGGTCCCTAGGGTGCCCAGAGTAGCTTTCTGCTACTTGCTCCTTCCCCAAACAGGCACACAAGGCACCACTACTATTATGTGGAAAATTGTCCCTGGAAGTTTCCCTGAGCTCTCAGGAGAGGGGGCTGGCTGACCTCAGGAATTCTGGGACTGTTCCAGTCCTGGAGGAGCCTGAGGAGAAGAGGGTGAAGTTAAGGCTGAACCTGGACCCAGAACAGGGCCTGACAGTGTCAGTAGCCCAAAGGCCCACACTTCCAAGCCTAAGTAGGTGTGAGAGCCGGGGAGAGCCTTACCCCACAGCTGGAGCAGACATGCTCATGAAGGTATCCCAGGCACGACCTCGCTGACGGATAGCCTACACAAGACAGGTAGCAGCCTCAAGTTCTCTCTCTCCCTAGACTTTCAGATTTTAACTCTCCAACCTTTTCCCCAGGCCGATGGCTTTGCCTCAGACATTCCCCAGAGCATGTTCTGCATCCCACCTCCTCCAGGCCCACAGCCTCTTGTGTCCCAGCATCACCTCAATCTGGGTCCAGATCTGACCAGTTTTCTTTTCTCTTTAGTTCAGAGGAAGCAAGTTATTAAAGTTTGTCAAAAAGCCGAGCTTTTCTAAGTCAGCTGCAAAGTGCAGAAGACAGAATGACAAAAAAAAAGTCACAAAATCTTACAAATACAAAACAGAAGTGGGACCCAGACAGCCAGGTTCTAAATCCTGATGTGGTACAAGTTTTGCCTACAGACAGGAGACTTTGTTGAGTCAGGGGTCAATAAGAGGGAAGCAGTGACAGAGGGAAGTGAGTGGCAAAATAAAAGGCCTTATGCAATCAATACATCAGCAGAAAGTACATCAACCTAAATTGGCCAGCACAGGACACCTGCTGTGTAGACACATACTTCCCCTGCAGAGAGCTGTGGTCTAATAACATGCAAAAAGCTTGGCCTCAGTCATATCTTCCCTCTCTGTCCCAAGGAGGCCCTGATAGATGATAATGACAAGTAGTTACTAAAAAGAATTCTTTCTTCCCAGCCCTATCCCCCCATTCCTACATTCCTGATCCTATCAAATACCTGAATGCTTCTAAAGACATTTTTCCTGAAGAATATCCCCCAAAGTTCTATTAAATGTCTTCTATTGCTCAGAGGACTGTCCCCTCTCAGTGACACCATTTAATCTTGCCTTTTAAATAATCACACTACCCCTGGATAATTCCTCAAATCCTGTATTCCCACCACTCACCTCATGTTTGGAACATAGCATATAGAAGTGCCAAATGAATGAACAAGTAGATAAGTAAGTTCATTTAAATATAAACTAAATATGTAGCCTAGTTCATAAGATTTTACATTGTTTTGTTTTCTTGTATGTGTAAAAATCAGCAATGAAAGCCATACCTTCTCCTTCAATGAATATATAAATTCAGGACAGACCAAACAAATTTCAATGATTTATTTGCTTGGAATTTGACAGTAGAATTCTGAAACTCAAGTAGAAGTATGAACATCTAAAGGTAATAATGATATAATAGAGGCATGCTTATCCTACTAGAAATAAAAATGTACTATAGACTATTGTACTTAAAATGAAGTTGTGGTGCAGGAATAGACAGATTATTTGAGCAGAAAATGGCATCCATAAAAATATCCCATGCTTATATGCAATACATAATAAAGATAGTATCTCAAAGCAACAGAGAAAAGATAGATTATACATAATACAATTATATGGAAACAATTAAATTCCCTGAAGGAATGCTTGGTATCACTATAATCCCATAACACTTTAGACATTTTTGTACTTCTACTAGATAAATAGGAAATCTAAATTAATGCATACTATTGTAATACATATTTTTATGCTTTATTTAAGTGCTATTACACCATGCCATTTTTCTGCATCTTGATATTTGCTGAGCACTTTGTGTGATACATTCATGTTGATGCATGTTGGTCTGGTGAAGCATTTATTACTTCTATAAAATGTTTTTGTTACAAATTATAAAAGTACTATACGGAACTACTATATTATATTGACTGAATATACCACATTAATTTCATTCATATATTTCATTGAAGATATGATATTTAATTCACTTATTCTTCTTTGATGAACATTTAGGCAGTACACAATTATTTATAATATTATTAATATTCTTACATAAGGCCATCTTATTTACTTGGGCAGTGCACCTCAGGGTTTATATTTAGGCACGATATTTTGGGGTTGTAGGATATGCAAATCTCTAAGTTTGCTAAATATTAATAAATTAATCTTGAGATAATTTGATTGTATTTAGTATCCCACTAGTAGTGGATAAGTGTTCCCAGTTCTATACTGTTTTCCTAATCATTAGCATTATCTTATTTTTGGTCTAATTTTGCCAATCTGAGGGGTGCAAAAAGTTTTTATCGCATTTTCCTTGTTACTCAAATGGTTGAGGATTGTTTCATAAATTCATTGGTTATCTGTATTTTTTCTGAGAAGTGCCTATGACCTTATCTTTCACTATTTCCATTTTTCCTTTTTTCTATCCATTTGCATATCCATGAATTTTGTAATACATATCTTCATTTATTTTGATATTTTAAAAATATCTATACTTACTTAATTGTCCTAATATAGAGGCCTTGAATATTTGTTATATTTATTATAAGTACCTTAGATTTTGTGGTTATATTATCAATTTTAACTTCTTAGTTATATTTCTAATGGACGCTTTATATAACAATGTAAGTAGTCTTGGGTTTTGTTTACTCAAAATTCATAAATATCTTGAATATTAATTTTTAAAATCTATCTTTAGAGTCTTATGGGTTTTCTCTGTACAAAAATCATGTCATTTGTTAATAATTGTATTTTTATTTCTTCATCAGTGATCTTACATCTCTGTTTCTTTTTATCACCCTATTACAGAAATTTGGACTTTCAGTACATTATTGAATAGAAGTAGTTAGAGGAGGTATACTTATATCCTCCTCCATTTTAAATAAATTTCTTTCTTTCATTCTTTATAACAGAAATAAGTGGAAAATGTAAACAACAAACCAAACAAAAAAATTCCAGAAGTGCTATGGGGTAGCAAGAAGTTAACTATACATCAAGAAAGGTCTGCCCTTTGCCCTCAGCTCCTGGGAGGTGATCTCTGGGCCTCTAGAATGTCCTGCCTGACAGGAGTGTCTTTATTTGGCCTGGGGGTTTTTGGCCACTGGACAGTCTATCATTGTGATTTATGATGGGGGGTTTTTGGTCACATCGTATCAACTATAATCATGAAAAGAGCTGAAGAGTAAAGGTATAATCTGACCTCTTTGAGTGGCAGGAGAATAAAGCTTGCCTTATGAGCAGTACGTGATGGGGCCCCAACAACAACGCTGGATACCAAAGGTCCAAGTGAGCATCCTGGTTGGCAGTACCCTGTGTGGTCACAACTGGCGATCAAGAGGACGATGCACCGTTCATCATCATTGCACAGGGAGTGTCAATTTGAAGAGGTGTAATAATTGTATGTCAATATGTATGTGATGTGTACATATACATGATAAATATAACACACACATGTATAACACATATATATGGAAAAGGTAAGATGTCTTTACATTTAAGATTCCTTTGAGTTCTCTAAATGACCATTAGTAGTCATAAAGATTTGCTCACGTACTTCTTAAAAAAGGATAATAGAAATAATTGCATTTGTTTGTATTTTCCAAATTTTAATTAATTCTATCATGAGAGGATTTCATTATCCATGTAAACATATTTTAATATTGTTTATTTTTCAGATTAAATACATTTAGTTTTACCTTCAAAGACAAAAACTGTATTAATAATATCCTGTAAGTTAATTGTGTACTGTATATAACTTGAGAATTCCATTCTCCTTCATTCTGAAAATGCTGGTTAATGTGAAAAACTGGCTGGACCTGTTCAGGGTTAACATCAGTTGGCAAGGACCACCTTCCCTTATCAGCCACCTATTTATCATCTACCACATAATCTTAAAAGGGGAAATAGGATGTTTTAGAAACATCATCAGAAAAAGATTACCCTGGTCCTCACTAGAGAAGATGTCTCAGGTACAGTTAATAAGCAGCACAGCCATAAAGCCCCAAGGAATGAATATTGAATCCAGCTAACAATGACATTGCCCCTTTTCCAGTGAAAATTATT